CTCCCCACCCCCAGGAGTGTCAAATGCAGCATCGGCAACTCCAGATAATAAGCTTCTTTAGGAATTCCAACTCAAGTCGCAGAATTTCAAAACGAAGAGACCTCCAAGATGCAAGCAACCCACCCCTTACTTTATTACACCTGAGGAGAAGCTAGGCTCTACAATCTGAAGTTACCTGCCTAAGGTCACACAGCTAGTTCTCTGCTATATGTAATTAACCTTAGCAGCTGATCTCTGGAGTTTCATTAAACAAAAGTAGGTTAATAAAAAGGAAGCCTTTAGATTTTAGATATTGATAGAGTGGGGCTACACTAGGACTTGGAAAATTAATTTGATTTCATATCCATGAAAATGTCTTAATGATGCCAGTGCTCTGAGGGACCAATCAGGCAAAAGAATGTTCCCTAAAAAGGAAAAGCCTCTGCGATGTTGGATTCTACCAAGAACCACACAATTATATTTGAAATATATTTGTTTAATTTGAGGAAGAAATTAATTTGATAGTCCTGAGGGCATTCATCCACAGGACTAGCTTTTTAAATCCACATCTCCACAATGAAGCTAAATTAACCACAGTTAAGTAAATTAGAAACTCAAGCAGTTTTAGAATGTGAGCAAGAGCATGGACAGTCCTGATGAGCATCTAACCCTCAAGGTTTTAAGGAAATGGGTCACAGACTGAGATGCAGGCAAAAAGATAAGGCTGTGAGCCCTCCAGGAAATGATTATCTGAAAGAAATGGACCTACCTGCAAGAGCACAAAAATGCTAAATCTGAATTCCTTTTTCTACGCCCTACCACCCACTTCACAAGTATAAATTCACATGCAATCTTCACCAGCTAGGTTTTGTTTCATGATTGTCAGACCCTTTTAAATATGTGCATTTCTACTTTTATATTAATTAATTAATTAAATAATTTTTAAGAGTTGCCTACTCTGCCGTCTGAGCCAGCCAGGCACCCTGCCTTTCTACTTTTATAATGTTTTTTATTTCTGCTTATAAAAGTAATATGTTACAGATAAGTTGGAACACACAGACCTGTGTAAAAAAGAAAATAAAAGTCAACCATATCCATGATCCAAAGATAATTGCTGTACATCCTGGAATATTTTCTTCTAGTTTTTCATCTTAGTGTATATGTGAACGTGTGGAATTCACGTGTTTATAAGGGTTATTGAATTAGAATATTACCTTTATATTCTATTTTTTTCAGCTTATGCTTTATTGCTGGCATTTCCAAAATTACTAGATGATTATCAATTTATACAAATCTTTGAGTAATTGATGATTATTTTCATAGCATAAATTCCTGAAATGGGATTAAAGTGTCAAAGGGTATACATATTTTTAAGGGGTTTGATATATTGTCACCTAATTATCTTCAAGAAATTGTTTTCCCATTTACACTCTCCACAACAACTGAGTGTCCTTTATAAAGTCAATCTTAATAAGAGAGGATATGTTCATTTGCTGACACATTGTCAGAAATATTTTATCTGAGTTTTGTTTGCATTCCCTCTTCTTGAATTTTAAATTTTTTTCCTAATGTTCATATGTAATAATTTAGTCTATTCAAAACATCTGATCAACTTTCTATTAAAGGGTGCATTTTGTTGATTCATAAAGGTTTTTTGATATGTTAAAGATTTTTAACCCTTTGAGTATAGGCTATGGGTAGCTTCACTACTTGGCTTTTCCCCTCCTTATATTTATTTCCTAAAAGAAAAAAAAAATTAGGGAAAATTTTTTACATGGTCAAGTCAACCAATCGTATTTATTTTTTCCATAGCTTTTACTTACAAAGTCCTTGTCCCATCTAAAGATAGGTATCTACCTATATTTGCTTTGAGTTAATTTATAATTAAAAAATATTTAACTCTTTTTCCTTCTGGAAATATTTTCAGGAATTGTGTGAAAGGGAGCACTAACAGGATTTTTTCCAAGTGCCTCAACACTGTTTAATGAATAATCTTTGCTTTCTGCAATAGTTTTGTAATGCCTCTTTTATCACATGGCTGGCCGAGAGAGTTGCATACTGGTTTGCATGTAACCTGCTGTGCTAAGAGTGTCTGGATTAACTTTCCCAGTGGGGAGTAACTGTAGGCAGTTTGAGGACTCCCTGAGCAGCTCCCACAGTTCCCTGAATATGGTGGATGGCCAATAAGGTCTTGTATGAAATGAACAATTAATGAGTCATTCGTACACCTGGGAAAGTTTAACTGGAAGATAAACAAATGTCTGTCCTGACTGGTTAAATGTTTACCTTTTGGGGCAAGGGTGCCAGGCATGATAGGATTTTTAGCGACCCTTAAGATTATGATTTTTCTCTTCCACCCCCTACTACTACTCTGATCCAGTCACTCCCGTCTTTGGAATATAATAATGGTTTCTTATGGCCTCAGGATTAGGAATAAATTCCAGGTTATTATCATTCAATAAATTCACCATTCTCCAAGAATAGTTATGATGCAGCCGGGTCAGTATTTCTCACACTTGAGGAATGTATAGACACCTTTAAAAGGAAAACAATTCTCACAGACCTTCAGTGATGCCTTATTTTTATTAAAATACCATTTAAATAAACTGCATATTCTTATAGGTCCAGAGCAAGAAAGGGTAGTGGGATCATGGCTACATGATATTCATATGATCCAGCATATGCATATTAATTTAACATGATATTAATTTCTTTTAAATATATTGTAATGGAAGCAAAAACACAAATTTCATGGATTTCATAGAGAACTTGGGGATCCCTGGAATATGTGTCCTATTTCCAGTCTAACAGAACAGAAATTGCTTTCCCATAAACCACATCCAACCCTCAAACTTTGCCCTTTTTCTAAGCAGTTTGGATGCCTGCCTCGTCTTCAACGCTCAACTTAAGCGTGAATAATCACTAAACTAGATGTAAACTAATCTCCATATGCTTGTAACCATTACACAACTGTAAAACCCAAACGAAATATGAACAAAACTATAAAAGCGATGTTTCAAATAACTTTATTTAAAGAGACAGAGGACATTGTCTTGCTGAACAAAAATGTCTGCTCACCTTGTAAACACAGTGCTGTCACCTGCCAGGAGCAGGGTTTTTGGTTGGTTCTACATGCCCAGACTGAGTGAACAGACTTATCAGAATTAGTTCATTCCTTCAACCATTAATCTTTTTCTTCAAGAAACCTTTAGTAATTGAACTGCAGCACATCAATCCATCAGGATTTTCATCAACACCAGCTCTAAAACATCCTAATATTCTCCTAAAGAACTTGCTTCTGGAAGCTGGTATGTATAACTAAGCTGATTTTTGCTCTATAGGTTTTAATAAGCTATGTCTCTATATCACTAAGAAAGGGAAACTCTTTCTAGAACCAAAAAGAGATGGCTTCAAGATGAAAGAAAATCACTCAAAGTAGCTCCTTAAATATTTTAAATGCAGTAATTTCTAAAAAGCACAATTTATATTCTGTATTACTTACAATCTGAGTGCAGAGAGGCAGTGGTAAGTCTAAGGGCTTAATTATAAGAGCGAAGCTTTCTGCAAAATTTTATGGAATGAATTCTCCATATTTTATAGGAGAATATTATACAGGACTCTTAGGTTGCTCAAGACTCTGTTTCCTAATAGTTGTTGAAAGCTGTTGACTTTTAGAAATGAACATGTTGATCTGGGTGTAAAGGAGGAGGATACGCAGAAAACAGAAGAGATGCCAATTCACAATGCAGCAGGCAATTAATTAACAAGAGTCGTGCTCCTAGAAACATATGATGGAAAAGATCTAAGAATCTTGGAATAACAGAAGATGTATTTCTTTCAAGTTACTTTACTTGTGTGACTTCTCCACCATAGTTAAATCAGTGGATGAGATGTTGGGGTAAGGCGCTGGTTCTCAACAGGGGGCAATTTTGCCCCCCAGGGACATTTAGCCATGTCTGGAGGCATTTTTAAACGTAGCAACTGTGGAGAGAAGGCATCCTATTTGCATCTAATGGATAGAGGTCAAGGATGCTGCAAAACATCTTACAATGCAGAGGACACATCTTACGGCAATTATCCGGCCAAAGATGTCAATAGTACCGAGGTTGAACAATCCTGGATTAAAGTGTCCAAGCCAAAGGACTGTATCTGGGCTGTATGCTTGTGCGGACAGGGCTTGTGTGACAGGCTGTATCCTTGTGTATCCTCCTGCTGTACACAGATACGCATGCATGTGCAATCATCAATTTATATTACAAGGCCACAAGAACTACCTAGAATCCTCCCAGAGACTCTCCTGGAATACAAGTTAGTCCCAGGAAGGCTGAGTTAGAGGGCTCTGCATTGAGCCAGTCATATGAGACCACTACTGAAGGAACAGATAAAATGAACAGTTAAAAGCATAACAGGATACATTAGTTCATTTATTCACTTATTCAGCAAACCTTTATTGGGCACCCACATGTGCCACTCTGCTAGGCATGATGATGGTACACAGTGAACACAACCAAACCTGGTCCCTGCCCTCATGGAGCTTACAGCCTAGGGAAGACTAGAAAGGTTACCAAGAAGAGGCTGGTAAAATGAGGACTCCACAAATGTACCAGATTGAGGAACATTCACACAGCAGCTCAAGAAGCTTTCATGTAAGTGTAATCTCACTTGAACCACACAACAAACCTGGAGACAGGCTTTATTGCCTTCACAGAGGTAAAAACATGCCCAAGGTCACACAGTTTATAAGTGGCAGAGCTTCAGCCAAGTGACACTGAGGTCCCTGTTCTAAACCTGTTTTACAGAGCAAGGATACACATAGGCACTCTGGCTTGATTGACCTGGAATTTCCTCTCCTGATCCTCACCAAGCAAGCATGCAGGTACAGAAATCTCTCCCCTTACAAAAAAAAAAAAAAATGCCCCCAGCCTTCACTGTCCTCTTGCTTATGTAATACCCGGGGATTATTTTCTATCTGTTTCATGTGTATTTGCCTTATATTCCTAATTAGATTGTAAACTCCTGACCTGCAGGGACCAGATCTTCCATTTCCTTTGCAACCTTTTGCAGTACTGCAGTCACGTAATAAATGCCTGCTGCATGAATGAACCTGTAGAGATAAAAATACTTTATGGTATCCCCATTTATTGGTTTCATGCTCTTACTTTGCTTTGTGATAGGACTGCACATTATAAGCTTCTAGAGGGCAGAGGAAATGGCTTGGTGCTTTCCTTACACTCAGCAGGCACCATGCAAAATTTGATCCCCGCATGCCTTTTTGATGCTCTGTATAATATTAGCACACTGGAGTGTTTTTGTGTATCTAAGGACCGAGGTTGTCAGCCTCTCTGCGGCGGGGAATGTTCCTTCCTTTCCACAGTAAGCTCCCCTGGCGCCTAGGACAGGGCTAGATTACTGCAGAAGCCCCCTCCCCCGCTCTCCTCCTCCCCCACCTCCCCGCTTATTTTTATTGCCAAGGAGGCCGACTGCGAAAATGGCAAGCTCTTGCATAACCCCAGACCTTGCAAGGAAATGAGCAAAGTGGAAGGGGATTTGAAGGCAGGTCAGAAATGGCCTGGATGAGAACACTGAGGCTTCTCGCCGACCTGCAGGACCCCAGCGGCGCGCCGCACGCAGTCGCGGGGCCCTGGAGGCAGCCCGCCCGCCCCGCGCGCCCCCGGGAGCTGTCCAGACGGCCCCGCCCGCGCCTACCTGGGCACTCACCCGCGCCGCGCGGCCTCTCCTCCTCCCACCCCGGCCGCGGGAGCCCGGCTCGGGCCTGCCCCGCCGCCGCCCCGCCTCTGAGCAGCCCCGCGGGCGGCGCACTCGCAGCCTCCTCCGGGCCCGCCAGACCGCGCCGGGCGCGCCGGGGGCGGCACGGCCAGGCTCGGCGGGGCTCGGCGGACTCGCCCCCGGCCGGGCGCCTGCAGGGGGCGCGGGGACGGCCCCGCCCCGCCGCCTTCCCTCTCCCTCCCGGCTCCCTGGATCCGCGCCGGGAGGAAATGATGTGTTGCTGCCTGGTTAATCACAGCTCCAGACACTCATTGGCCGAGCGCTCCGCAGCCACTTCCTTCTCCTCCTCCCGCTCCTCCCGCTCCGGCTCCTGCTCTTTGCAGCCGCCGCCGCCGCCGCAGCCTCCCCCTCCGCGCCGGGGGAACTTTTCTACTCTCTGTGACCGTCTCCCCCGCCGCCCCTCGGGCGAGCCTCCCCTAGGGCGAGCCTCCCCCCGGGCCGCCCGCCCCGCCCGCGGCCGCCCTCCCAGCCCGTGCCGCTGCGCCTCGGGAAGTTTATTCCGCCCGCCCTCCTCCCCTTCCTCCTCCTCCTCTTCACCCCGCCTCCCCTCCCTCCCCCGGCTCTTTCCCCCCGGGTGGCTGCCGCCGCCGCCGCCGCCGCCGCCGCCGCCGCCGCTGCCAGGCTGCCCCTCAGCCAGCCGCGCCGGCCCTAGGGCTGGAGAGCCCCTGGCCGTCCGCACCGCCCGGCTGCAGCCGCCGCGGCCCCGCAGAGTTCCGGGCTCTCTCGCCGGCTGCACCGCCCCGCCCCGCCCCGCGGCGCGCCGCGCCGCGCCGCGCCGACCTGCAGCGCCCGGCTGGCTCGCACTCCGCCTCCCCCGGCTCAGCCCCGGCCGCGGCGGGACCAGAGGTGAGGGCAGGTCGCCGGCCACGCCGCGGGAGCTGGGAGGACCGAGGGAGGAGGGGGCCTGGCGGGAGGAGAGGCTGGGATTGGGGGTGGGAGGGTGGGCGTCTGCGGTGTCTCCCCCTCGCTTTCATTCCTTTCTCCCCCAGGCTTCATCCACTCTCGATGGGGGAAGCAGCCGCGGAACAAAACTGTCTTGCTTTGGGCCTGAACTGCTGGTGGGATATGGGAGAGGACAGAGGCATGGGGGGCGGGGGGTGTCTCTGGCTTGCAGCGTGTGTGTTGTGTGTGTGTGTGTGTGTGTGTGTGTGTAGTGAACTCCTTCAGGGTGTGCGCCGCACTTGTAAATCGATCTGGTCGCCCGGCCACGGGCTCACCTTCCCAGCTGAGCTTGGTACAGAGTAAAGGGATGGGCTAATCACCCCCACCCTCAAAATATCCGTCTCTTCCAAGAGGAATTTTCTGCTGGAGAGACAGCCAATAAACTCTGCTCAACTCCCTCCCGCCCTCCGTTCTTCCTAGCTGCAGTTTCAAAAAGCTTCAAAGCCAGGAATGTGGGATTCATCTCCCGATCCCCAGAAGGCAAATGTGGTTACAGATGTTGCACTGTACTTTGCCAAGTTTAAAACCCTTCCTTCAACACTGTAACCAAAACAGTGAGGCTAGAACCTGGGGCGCGCTGGGGAGAGATGTGGGCCTCTGGGGCCGCTGGATTCACTAACTTCCTTCGGATTCTAGGCTGGCTTAGGTCTGTCCAGTTTGCGCCAGATACGTCCCCCCAATCCCCCCTCCTTTCCCTGGAGTTTTGAACGCTCTTTGCATGGGAGAAAAGCTGTAGAGGAAGATACTTAGGGAATAAAACATTCCACTTAGCAGCAGAAGAAAAGTCTTGGTTAAAAGTTGTGCTTAATTTGGCTTTTGGAGAGAGGTAGCAAAGTAATCAATGGATTTGTTAATTTTATTGGGCTTTCCTTTTTGAGGGTTGTGTGTGTGTGAGAGAGTGAGTGATGGGAGTTAGGTGGTGAGAAAAAAGACTGATCTCATACATAGTTTGTATATTTTTGAAAAGAGGCCCTCTAATTGAGACTTAGATATAACCCAGTGGTTTTAAAGAATCCTGTCCCAGAGATGCAGACTGCTCTGACAGCCCAAGGGAAGGCGGTGGCAAAAAATAGACACCACCTCCCTTTTCCCCCAAAAAAATTCTTCCTGGAAAGGTGGTGTTAAGAAATTTCAGAGATGGGCTGATCCAAGTGGCAGGCCTTAAATGGAAACACTATAGTATGTCTTGGCACTTGTGTCTGGAGGTGGGTGGCTGGCTGGGGGCCCGGGCTTGGGCAGCCAGCAGACACTAGACTTGTGCTGACCTCAGACACTGGCCTCGCCATCCAGCTTTACAGTATGCTTAGGTATGAAATATGGGCCGCACCAGTTTCACTGGTGGGGACGCAGGGGTCAGGAGGTTGTCCCAGGCCTGCACAGGACTTGGATCACCTGGCTTCTAAGACCAAATCACTTTTTTGTGTGCGGCAGTCGTTTTTGTTTTCTGGCCTGGAACTAAAGACACAAAACGAAAAACCAAAACGGAAGTCTTTTGAAGCTGAAATGTGTAGGTCTTCAATAGATGGAATTGTGTGGTGGATAATAGCATTTCTACTGTCACCCCTCACGCAAATACTCAAAAGGTGGTGAATGATGTTGCAGTAAATTCTGGAGAGATGGCAAAAATCAGGGGCTGGGATGGGGAGAGACTGGGTTCATACTCTCCTTTTCCGGCGGTTTGGTGAATTTTTCTTGAAATGGAGAGAGTGGGTTTTAAATAAAGACTTGATTTAGGTAGTAGTTTTACAACTTTTGTACCTTGAAAGAGAGTGATCATTTGAATCTGGGTAAGTTTCTTGTTATCTCTAAGTAATTTAAAAGAATATTAAAGATGCCAAGTAGAGGTGGGGGAGTCTGCCTTATTCAGGAATGTAATTAATTTCAGCAGTGGGAACTTAATGCCATTAATAGCATTGTAATGATTTTTTTTTTCAGAGTAATGATTTACCAAATTTTCTGCATCTGTCCACCGAACAGCTAACAGTGATTGAATCAGTAAATAGAGACTATGCCTCTATCTTACCCTAGATTGCACTGAACTAATATTGTGATGATCATGATAGACTTCTAGGTAAGGTTAGATCAAGTAGTCCAGCCTTCTGAGGGAGGAAGGAACAGGGCAGAAATGCATTTGAAAAATGATCCTGTTATTCAAGGTCATGAGGTGAAGATGGAATCAATGTGTGTGTGTGTGTGTGTGTGTGTGTGTGTGTCCGCGTGCAAAAAGTACATTAGACAAAGAGGAGCTGGGACTGGGAACTGTCTTCTGTGCTTGTTCTGCTGTTGGATCCCAGCATCTTGATTGATTGATTGATTGATTTTTTAAAAAGATTTTATTTATTTATTTGACAGAGAGACACACGAGAGAGGGAACACAAGCAGGGGGAGTGGGAGAAGCAGGCTTCCTGCCGAGCAGGGAGCCCGATGCGGGGCTTGATGCGGGGCTTGATGCGGGGCTTCATCCCAGGACCCTGAGATCATGACCCGAGCCAAAGGCGCTTAACGACTGAGCCAACCAGGCGCCCCTTGATTTATTTTTTTTTAAAGATTTTATTTATTTATTTGAGAGAGAGAATGAGAAAGAGAGAGCACATGAGAGGGGGGAGGGTCAGAAGGAGAAGCAGACTCCCTGCCGAGCAGGGAGCCCGATGCGGGACTCGATCCCGGGACTCCAGGATCATGACCTGAGCCGAAGGCAGTCGCTTAACCAACTGAGCCACCCAGGCGCCCTTGATTTATTTTTATTTGAAGGGATCTAATGCACAACTTGTGAGAAACTGGGGAGAAGTAAACTATTAATGGTAGCAAAACCCTTTGATGTGTTTTGAATGAATTTGGTGACCGTTATGATGGGGGAGCACTGGATATGTGCTAGGCACAGTGCTCAGCTCTTTACATACATTTTTCATGATATTTTCACAGCAACCATATGTTTTATTATTTCACTCTTTTATGATGAGAAATTCAGGCTTTCCGAAATTGAGCGAGTTGCCCTAGTTGTAGAGCTAGTCAGTAGTGGAGTGGGGATTTGAACCAGGAGTTTGTGAGACTCTGGAACCCATGTTCTCAGCCGCTTTTGCCAGTGTTTGCCAAATTTCATTCACTCATACCGTCTTCATGAGTTTACCACGGCTAAGTGTCAGTCTATTAATTATGTAGTATTTTTCTTTAAAGCAGTGATTGACCTTAGAAAAACTAAAAGGATGTCATCTTTTAAGAGGAAACAATATATCATTGCTATATTTGGAAAGCCAACTTACTTGTTAGTAATGGGAGGTAATCATAAAGATGCATAATATACTCATAATATAATAATATACTCATAATAAAACCCCAGATTCAGGACAATGATTACCTGGGGTGAGTGTGTGTTTTGCAGGGACCTGGGGATCAGGGTGGTGGAGGTAGGTAGATCATACAGCATTGGTGATGTTCTGGGTTTTTGGGTTGAGTGGTGGGTTCAGAGGTACTGATTTTATTTTTAGACTTTATAACCTACACACCCGATAACATTTTTTTTTTGTAAAAAGATAAAATTAAACACATGACTATTAACATAATGACTACTCGGGGAATATTTCACTGCACTCTTAAGACCATAGGCAGCTTGGTTCCCGTGCAAAGTAGGCACGCAAATGCTGTTGGCTGATTGATAAGACCCCAGGTGGTAATTTTAAAGCAAGCTGATTGTTGTCATACCTGAATGAGATTGAGGTATATCCCCTCTTCTATATTCTCCTACTTCCCCTCTCATTTCAGTATTGTGACCCAAATAATAGCAAGGGCTGCAGTGAGGTTTCTCCTGACTGGTTACGGGAGACTGGGGCTGAGCTGAAGATGGCACTTCTCAATAGCACCTTGTCGCATACATCTAGTGCTCAGGATGGGACAAAAGGTGCTGTCATGAAGTGTTACAACGCTTTCATTTTTACCCAGTGGGTAAGCGTGACCGTTCAGACTGGGAAGCTGGTATTTAAGTTAAAGCAAAGCCTGGGCAAAATGTTGACAGCGTTAAACTGGCAAGGCTGGGAAATGAAGCCATCAGAGATTTTAGTGGGAGTCCACATAGTCTCCTGTTTTATTTTCCCAAGCAAGTGTCGGGCACTGTGGCTTTATTCCTGGAAATGAGAATTTGAATTCGGTTTCCTGGTACAAAATGCCTTCTTTGATCTCTTGGAGTGAGAACTTTGTGTTTCTTTCTGTGGCCAGTTCCAGCTCTCAGAAGAACCAAGTGGAAGGTTTACCTCTTCTTTTTTAGCAGTTGGCCATAGACTGTTCTTGCTTGCTCTGCTAGTTTAAGAATCAGAAGTTCCAAAGCAGGATTTGTCGGTTGGAAGGGGCATTCATTTAAAGGACTTCTTTTGAAAGAGCTTCATGAAGATGATGTGGTTGGCAAATCATGGCCTTTGGTTCAGATGGGAGGTAGTTTTGTTTGAACTTACGCTCCCAAAATTAACGAGACCCAGCAGCTTCCTTTTTGAAGTTAAAACAGATACTTTCCTGCCCCCAACATTCAAACCAGCTGCCCCGTCGAATAGTATTCCTGTGCTCTTATATGCATTTTGGGAAATCTGAGCTTGTTTCTATGTCTAAAGACTCTTCTGTGATCCATGAGCCACCACTACTCATTTGTTTGATTTTTGGGTTTCAGTCTCTGACCAACATTCCACTTTGCCCATTTGGGTTGCTTCATTGTTTGCTCTGGGTACTTGGCCTTTATTTCTGTGACCAGGAAAGAGACTCTGAGTTTTAGTTTTTCCAGATTTTGTCGAGGTTCTTGCAGGAGGTGGAGTTTGTTTTTTGGACGATGGGGCAAGTTCAGGGGGTCCCCTTTAGCATAGGTGTCCTGATGGTTCAGCTCTTTATCATCATGAGGCCAAGCCTTGGAGTCGGTCCCTTTGCAT